AGAGCTTTTATTTACAACAATTACTCATAACAGGGGTCATCATTTTTTAACTGTCCCTCATCTATATCTAGTTATTACGGGCGGTAAAATGGTTAGCTAAGGGTATTTTTAGGCGTAAACTCCATTGTTAGTGGTCCATATGCCGATATGAAACAAATGCGAAACGTTTCAACTTGCACTATTCCAATCTATCTCGGTATTCAAGATTTACTCTCAGTTACAAATAAATGTTTTCTCAGAAAAGAAAACTACGAATGGATGAATGATTCGAGCAGGTCAACTGCAAGAAAGCAATTGCAGAAAAGAGGCCTGAAAAGATAATGGCGTTGACGAGAAGTCAGGATTCTTCTCTGCGATCTCTTTTATTGCAGCTCACGCGAAAAGATAAATTGTTTATTTACTTTTCTATTTTCCGGTGGGTTTTTCATTCTGGAGAAAAAAACTGACCCCAAATTCATTAATTCTTGTTACCATTAATTAGTGTTTCTGTTTCTCTAGGGAATATCCGGACCGCAAGGACCTGAGGGGCCTCCTGGATCTCAAGGCCCTCCCGGTCCTCCTGGCCTTCCAGGGCCGATTATTAACAATATCACGAACGGTGGACCCGAAGAGCAACTACCACCAATATTTATAGTTAAGTAACTAATCAAATGCCTTCTTTACCTTTCAGTCACGTCTGTTGTTGTGTAACCTCCGTAATCGTGGCCTCTGTTTGGCCTTGAGAAGATAAATTCCTTATCTACACGCAACCACGTATTATTTTGTTTAGTGTATGAACACTGTAGGCCTTTACTGACAAGAAAATGCGATTTTGGATTGAGAATGGTGAACGCTTTGCCATTCATTATGCAGAAGGGCAGAGTGTCAGCAGATGACTGGTTATATCAAAGACACGTAAAAAGTCATCGCGAATTGTACGCGTGTGCAGTTACGGCTCTTCTCAGAGCTGTTAATCCTTGTGAAACACCACAATTTGTACAATGAAAACAGTTTAAATTTCCCTCAAGAATGAGGGCAATAGGCTTATTTGTGTGTTACAGAAGAGATCCAAGGACACTTCGTTTCCGGTGAAATCTTTTCACAGTTTGGTGAGGTCATTCCACAAAAAAGCTGGGTCTCGATTTTGGCATCTGATCCTACCAAAAACTTTCCTCATGGATGGAGTCCATTTCTCTACGTTTGTTCCAGGCTTGTGACAAATCAAACTGTTCAAACGCCTCGCTCAATTTCATTCAAGCCTTTATATCAATGTTACCCTAATTAATTGTTATTTTATTGAAATTGAATTTTGTGACCTTGTTCTGTTATCTTGTAGGGCAGCAAAGGACCAAGTGTTGGGTATAGGGAAGTTAGAGGGAACCGTGGTGACCCGGTATGTCTAATGTCACAAATCGTCGCTGTTATTTTGAGTTTTCTTGCTGTTCAGAGTATTTGTAACCGAATAGTCCATTTTAAAGTTGTGTGCTTGATTGCCAAGCCTTCGAACAGGAATGAGGCTAGGGGTGACCTTGTTATGATACAAACCTTTCTGCTTTTCAAATGCAAATTACTTTGTTATCATGCTAGCTAGATACTGGTCTCTATCACAACAAGGTCACCTTCAGCCTCACTCCAATTCAAAGGCTTGGCAACTAAGTACACAACTGTAAAATGGCCTATTGGATAAAACTGAGTTGGTGGCCAATCAAAACAGAGGAGAATATTGCAAGAGGCCATTGAGATCTCCAAGACATGAGAAAGACTTGAAGCGCGGGAAAGCGCGGAAGTCCTAGTTGCGAGTGGTTTTAGTTTTGCATTTGATTGGTTGAGATGGTGGCACGAGCCTTACTGACCAATCATAGAGCGAAGCAATGCAAAACCAATTTAATACCCCACTACTTTCGATACTCATTTTGAAATTGCACCAAAAGTTACGCTCTGCCATGCTTAGAAATGACTAAGTAGCCTCGTAACGTAGTTTATCTGATTTTTAAATATTTACTTGTTTCTTTCTGTTAACAATTTTATAAATTATATAAATTATATAATTTTTAGGGTGAGGCTGGCTCAGTGGGCGTTCCTGGAAGGAGAGGGGTTGATGTATGTGCAAGCTTTTTAGCTTCTTTATCTGATTTTTAAGTTCATGTTTGTGCATTTAATTCAAAATGTGAACATTATTATAGTCTCCTTTGATAGCAGCAATTTTATCTCGATGCATTCTTTTGTTGTTTAAGAGAAACTACCAAAAAAATAAAAGCCTGTGAGGGAGACTAACATACGCCTGGCAAAATAAATAAAAAAATTATTTAGTTTTACTTAGCAGATTAGATTTTTTGTTCAGATTTATCATCTGAAGATCTCTTTTAGGGGGAACACGGAAAACCGGGGCCACCGGGCTTAGATGGAAGCCCTGGCACACCGGTAGGTATATCTGTTATTCGCCTTAAAAACAAACAAGTAAACTAGTAAGTTTAAACGGTCCGTCAGTCAGTCAGCCGGTTGGTCAATCGGTCAGTTAGTCAGTCAGTCAGTCGATGGTCAGTCGGTCAGTCGGTTGGTCTGTTAGTTAGTTAGTCAGTCGGTCAGTCAGTCGGTCAGTCAGTCTAACGGTCGGTCAGTCAGTTGGTCGGTCGGTTGGTCGGTCTATCATTCAGTCAGTCAGTCGGTAAGTCACTCACCCACTCTGTGTATCTAGGTATGGAAAATGAATGAATTAATGAATGAACAGAGCTGGCCGCGTTGTTATATCCACATATAGTCTAATTGATAATCAGTGACATAAATTGATATAAATTTTATGTTTATCACCCGTAGGGACCACCTGGACTTAACGGTCCCCCTGGTCAAAGAGGACGCCATGGAGAAGACGTATGGTCCTTTATTCGTTTTGGTTATTTTCTAACCTTTTTGCTCCCTACTTCCTAATCTAGAGGAATTCTCGTTAGTGCTCTTGGCCTCAACGGTAACTGAAATTGAAGTTTATCCTCTTCTTTTAAGGGAAGTCCAGGTCGCCCTGGGGATGTTGGAGAGCCAGGTCCGTCAGGCGCATCGGTGAGTTGTTCTTTGTCACGTGTGACTGTAATTCTAACTTTGGGGTTAAATGATGCGCACGATAACAAGACAACTGATATCGAGGTAATAGCGTGCTCACCGATGTCACGATTGAGGAAAGGTAAACCTGATGGCTGGAACTCCGGATTTCACAGGGTTTACACTAGGTTTTTCTGTTTTTCTTGGGATTTACTTTGCTGTAAGAGCCGAAAGAGGAAAAGGTAACGCTGTGAGGGTTTAAATAAACAGGTGAAGGTTTGTGCATACGGAGGGTTTGTTGTTTTGCAATCTGCTGTTATCCTTTCCTTTTTGTGCTGTTATAGGGCCTTGGTTCTTTAGTATCGCGCCTTTTTGGTTTTTCTGTCTAACCAAACCAATCTAATTTTGTGGAAATGCGAAACGCTGTGGCCAAAACGCGCAGTTTTTGTCTTCATAGTATTTTAGTGCTCATTTATTTTTCCATGTAAGAATTTTTTGGCTGAGCATCAGTCATGGTGACTGGTCTTGAAAAGTTTACTTTTTTTCTTTAGGGTCCTCGTGGAGCGTCTGGTCTGCCAGGATTGCAAGGTGTCAAGGGAGATAGGGTATGCAGTTGTGTTGTGTTGTAGAAAAGTGTTCGTCAACACATCGTGGTTAAACATTATTAACATGTTCAAGGAAAAACGGCCAAAATAATTACATCTCCTGTTTTCCCCCTTATTTAATACTTAAGTTTTTTTGGGAGAAATGGTAGACATTAGCATATTGCAATCTTGATGTGATAAAGTGTTCCTCACTGGTTATCGCTAGTTTCTCCGACATTGGTCTCCTAAAATATTATATCACGTCGAACAACTCTTAACCATGAAACTCTTTCTCGACTGATAGAGCTGTTGAAATAAGAGCTTACTCAGGCTTCTTCGAGCGAATGGTATCGTAAGCATTGCTTTTCCTTTTGGTAGTCCATTCTAAGTACCAACCCCAACCCCCACCCTGCTTTCCCTCCCTAAAAGTTTGCTAAGACCGCTGTGTAACCTCGGGTTAAGAGAGGCTCTGTGTGGGTAGAGGGTGTACTCGATAGCCTCACAAATGAACCAGTTAGGGCAAGAACATTGACATTTCATTGCGGAATTCTGCGCTCTAAACTCAAAGCTATTGTGTCTTTCGTGATTGTGTGTACGATGAAAATCAAGGTTTATCTTTAATAAAAAAGAAAATAAAGACTCAATTGAGGTGATAACTCTTAGGGAGAACAAGGACCTGCAGGAGAACCAGGAGGCCAAGGAAGGCAGGGTGCACAGGTATGATAATGTTTCAACAGTGTGCGTGGATGAGCTACTTCCGCTGGCAACTAAACGAAGGTATTTGTGTTGTCGCCGCATTCCAGCTAGCTATTTGTCCTGCGTTCTTTGTTGCGATTGTGGTCCATTCTTATCTATTGTTTTCGCATTCTTTTCGCTAACCGCAATTCATATTATGTCAGATTTTCCCGCATAATTTTGCTTTCTCTTGGACAATTTGTAGAAGTCGACCGTTGATTTCGTCTTTCGTGTTTTAAGCTTCGCAAGTTCGACACCGCTGACGCTTCAATTCCGACTACTTTTAGTCCTTCGTGTTATATGTTGCAGAGCGTTTGCAAGTGTCTTTTCCATGCTGTTAGTCCTTGCATCGTTGTCGTTTATTTCTATATGTACTCCGTGTCTTGTTAATTCTTGTGGTTTTTCTAGCAAAGAAAACCGCAACACTTTGCTTAACTTGTAACTGAATTAACTAACTTGTTTGACATATTGAACAATTTATAATCACAACAATGTGGGATTGTCAACTCATCTCCTTTGTCGGAAGAATGCATCAGTTGCGGCAGATGTACCTCTTGCGTTTAAAAATACACTTAATCTTTTTCTGCGTTTTACGTAGTATATTATAAATGGACATAGCTGTGCCATTGGGTATATTCTTTCCTTGAATTTCTTCGCTCTGTGTTTTTAGGGAGACACAGGCAAACCAGGAAGTTCTGGTCGTGATGGAAGATCCGTAAGTTATATACAGGCCGTATTATGTAGAAAACGTGTTCCCTCTTACATGTGATGTCAAGTTTACGTTTCTCTAAATTCATTGGGTGTCTTTGTGTCAAGGGTATGCAAGGTCCACAAGGAAGGCCTGGCATCCCAGGAGCAGTGGGCCGACAGGTAAGCCAAATAAAATTAGGGAAAAATGGAAGATTCGGCTGTGTAAAAGAAATAAATTATTATTTACTCATGCTACAGTTTAGACAATCAATGGACCTGCAGTTATCTTTACTGTACATGTTTGTTTGTTGTAATGTAGGTAAATAATTTTGATATCCAGTCTGTTATATTTCTCATGCAGCCTATTATCTTTCTTTTTGAAGTTGCTGATTTTTTGCCTATACCATGAAGTTCCCATTCAAGCTTGATGCGTGTTTGTTTGTTTTTTTTTATCATAGGGCAAAGTCGGTTCTCGTGGGAAGTCTGGTCGAGAGGGTTCTCCGGTATGAAATAAATGAAAATAATGATGAAATAATTTGCTAGCTGTTTGTCCTTTGTGTTTGTTTGCTTGTTATTAAAGAGTAGACAATCGAGGCTGAACGTCAGGGTAAAGCAGGAGGGAATCATCAATAGTTGTGTTGTGTAGGCTTTTTAGCTGGCAGTTTTATTTGCGCTTTGAAGCGTCAGGCGAGGGAAAACAAAAACTGTGAAAACGAACGGCGAAGCCGCGGAGGCTTGGGACGAAAGATAGCGATATATATCCTACAACTTCGCCGGTCCTAACGTAAAGGCGCACACAGCGCTATGCAGCTATGGAGGCTAATACGGTGTCGTGTTGCTAAAAAAGGGTTTTTATGATGAATGTTAAATTAATGTTCAAAGAAGTTGGCTTTAGGCTTTTAGTTAAGGCCAGTTAAAATGTTCTTAGCTTATACATGTGGAACTAACTCCAAATGAATGTTTATATATTTCCTTATTTACTGATGATTAAACCTTTTTGCCTTGATCGCGACCAAGAAATTTCAGCTTGAAACGAGGGGAAGAGGGCCAATTAAGATGGAAGAAAAGATAATGTATTTACCTCCATTTAGGAGTAAAGTGTAAACGTGCTTTTATTGCTGCAGGGTGCACCTGGGGAGATGGGTGAACCAGGCTTAGGAGGGGTTCCCGGGCCTAAAGGGAATAATGGACCCCAGGGGCGTCCAGGATCTAGAGGTACCAACGGAGAGCCTGGTCCAGAGGGAGAGGAAGGACGAGTCGGAGATCCAGGGAACCCCGGCCTCCCAGGTGAGGAGGGAGAACCTGGGCCCAAGGGTAACATGGTAGGTGATTCGTTAGTAAGGCCCTGTTCTTAAGGACGAATTTAACTCTAGATTTTCTTATAAGAATCTTATATCTTGTGTGAAGTATTTTGGAGCGAAGGAATCGTGAAAACTGTATATCCTTGACGGATCTAGAAATTTTTGAAGCAGTGGTGGGGGGGAGGGGGAGTTTGAACACAGAAATCGTTCAACCAAAGCCCCTATCTTGATAAATCCCTCCTTTACATGAAACACGTTATTTTATCAATCTAAACTTTCACAGTGCACGTGAACCTTACTCGTGAAGGATGCTTTAAGTTGAACAGATGCGATTATATAGAAAAATAGATGTTTAGATCAAGAAAAATGAAGAGAAAATTGTCAGCTATATGCAATCCTGTCCGAAATTGTCCTGAAGAGGTGACACACTGTTTGCCAATTTGTGTGTTGGTATAAAGTTCTTGTGTAGTTTATTAGTTAGTAACAGTGATATTCTATCACACCTTTTGGAAGAGACCTGTTAAGCTTGTGCGCTTAACTGAGGGTTACCAAAAGGGCCTAACAATCTCTACCCCTTTTTTCTAGGGCTCAATGGGCCTGATGGGGCCTCAAGGGACACAAGGCTCTCCAGGAATAGATGTAAGTAAAACACTTTTGTAAAATCTTCAAGTTGCTCAGAAATCAGAACGTTAATTTGGTGACATCTGCGTGCTGCTTAGATTCATGGATAAACAATGTTCTTTTCCCTCCAAATTTCTCAACGCGCCAGCAGCAATTGATAAAAAGAAGATCAAATGAAGTTTATTTCTACTCAACGATCCAAAATAGGTGTACTTGCTATTAGGAAAAATTGGGTAGAAAGAGAAGGTTGTGTGTTCAAGATGCAAAATTCCCTTGACGGAAGTTTTACGTCTAATGAGGAGAATAGATCAAGTTAGTTACTTGAGCATTGCTGTATTTTACCGTCTAAAAGATTTGATATCTACTTTCCTTTTATTCAAGGGTATTCCTGGGCAGCCAGGGCATGATGGTGAGCCTGGGGACAGGGTAAGTATCTATCGCACTTGCATTTTTAAGCATCAGTATTGCTATGATTGTGCAATTTCCAATTGAATGTCGAATGTTATCCAGAATTGCATTGGTTTTGATTTACGTGGCTCGATGATCGACTAAAAAATGCGAGCCGCTCCAACAACCAATCAGATGCAAAATTGTAACCAATTACTATGTAGTCACTCATTTTCTCTGGCGCCAAACGCTGTTCACATACTTTTTACTTGGATTTAATTCTTAGTGATGCCTTGTGATATTTTTCTATGGTTCAGATTGGCCGTTGCGATAACCTTGGCCTTAATCTTGAGCAGGCAATCAAAACGCACTCTATAAATGACGGGGTCTTCCATCATTTTATTGTCGTGTTTCCAATCAGGGTAAATCTGGATTTCCTGGCTTAAGAGGAGCAACTGGATCAAAAGGTGATCAGGTGGGAATTTGCGTGAATATGTATTTTCATTTTGCAATCAAACCTTTGATTGGATGCCACGTTGGTGTCCAGGGCAACTCTGTCGGAATTTACCACTTTCATATGCATGCCTACAGTTTCTTTAGCCGCTCAGTATGGGACCGAAAGTGTCCTGTCGGCTTTACGATCGTATTGCTATTGGTCAGTGAGGGTGGTGGCCTGAATTCGCTTTTAATACTATCTGTTTTACTTTTTGTTCGAGTAAAATACTATCTTTGTTCAAGACGACTTTTTCGTTGGGAATATAACATCAGAATGAGCATCATTCGTTCTCGCTTTTGGAAAATGGCACAAAAATATATGCGAACAAGGGAAAGTAAAACGTCCATAGGAACAAAGATTCTTCGGGTGATCACACCTTACCCCTTCGAAAGATGGGATCAAGATGGAAGGGAGCGGGTTTGATAAGGTTCTAGAGAGAAGTGGAAAACATTACCCTCTCTAAACCCACCCCAGATCTCGGTAATCCTTACTAATGATGACTAATATTAGGATCTAGGAGGGTCTTTTTAAATTGTTTCAACCTCCTTACCTCAACCCTGGACTAACTGGCACTTTTGTCCATCACTGTGGTTTTATAAAGTAACTGAATTGTGAGAACTGATATTATTATTTTCCAAAGGGTAGGAAAGGACAGATGGGAAGACCTGGGCCCCATGGCATCGCGGGGAAACGAGTAAGTAGTGTATATTTTAATGTCTGTGTCTCATAGGCTCCACACAGAATATCTTTGCATGGGTTGAGATATCTAAGAGGGCCTACACGCGGTTAACCAATAACCGTAAAACAGCCAAAAAAAATTAGCCGTTTAGCGTGAAAATTGACAAATCTTAACTGTTACTCGTAAAAAATGTTAATCATAAAAAACGTTTCTGGTGATGACAATGAAAAGGTATTCACCGTTAGCCGTAAATTGGTCAGAATTTTAACCATTAGCAGTAAAAGCCATCACCTTATTGAGATTCTCATCAGTTTCGTGTTGTGAAAATTAACAATTCTTAACTTCTTTCCTTGTATGACTTCCCTTTTTAAAATTGACAGTTGGTATTTTAAACCGTTAATGAAAAAAATTTCTTGAAACATTTAGTCCGTGTCATCAATTCGTTTGCTTTGTTTCTTGCCAGGGCAGTCAAGGAGCTCCGGGGCCGGTTGGAACAGCTGGGGAGCTTGGGGGAATGGTAAGATTTCTTAACCGCGTATGACTGGGTATATTGATGGAACAAATGCCATAAAGTCGCCAAAAGGAATGAATGAAAAGATAAATAAATATATAAAATGGGATAAACTGAAACCGAGGTCCATATTCAGTTAAAAATCTCGGTCGAACTGAAATAATTACTTGACTAAAGGATCAGAAAGACGGTATCCAGAAATTTATGGTTTCGACGGTTTTGACAATCTTCAAACCCGAATAATTCAAGAAATATCGCTAGATAAGTAACTTTTATATCCTTCAAATTGTGTAGAAACATACGACCTTGTTGGTGAAAAAGCTTTGGAGTGAGACAAAAGATACCGAAATAAAACCCCTATAGGTCTGATGGGAAGGGATCCGGACACTACGGTCCCTTCCACTGGATCCGCCACTGCAAAAGCAGCCGTTAATTTTGTCTTTCTGTCCGTCCGTCTTACGTCTGTCGGTCTCTTGATTTATGTAATGGTTACATAATCTTCCTCAGGGTAAAAGAGGAGCTGTCGGATACCCAGGTGCAGCCGGAAGAAACGGAAACAAGGTGAGCGGTGATGAATTCTGGTCTAAAATATCATATTTGTAAATTTAAAATTACAAAATTACTACCGATGAGCGAGTCCAAACTCGAACATGCGTATCTCAATCCTTTACAACTCAACATCAGTATGCATAATCTCCAACCTGTTCTCTACATGTCTCCCATGTTATTGACCACAAAAATTTATTGAATAATCATTGGTGATCTTTTCCTATATGGGATTACATAAAAATTTGATTCAGTAGTGATACTGTCAGGGGGTTGAAGGGTTATTTTCACAATTTCTGGCTATTAAAAAAAAACCTACCGACTGACGAAGATTAAAGGAACTGCAAAATCAACTGAACTGACTCGAATCTTTTTAATTTTTTAGTACTTTTAAAATCACAAAGTGATACTGCTCTTTATCTCATCGCAGGGCGATTCTGGTATTCCAGGGATGCCCGGAACTCCAGGAGTTAAGGGAGAAGTGGTAAGAATCACAGACGAAATACATGCCTCCCTAAACAATCAGTATTTTATCAGTTTTACTCAGGAAACTGTAATGAAAATTTAAATTATTGGTCAAATCATTTTCTGGTTCATTTCTATTGTTGTTTGTTTTTTTGCTTGTTTTATTTAGGGAGAACCTGGAGATCTTGGGCAGCCAGGACCAAGGGGAATACAGGTACGTAACGTTATAGACGATAACTAAATAACAGATGGCTTGCTTTAGCTTTTCAAAAAAATCGCTCTCACAGTAAGATATTTTAAGTAAATAATCGTTACCTTCGTGCGTGTCTTCTAGTCCGTCTCGCAGACTTCTAGGGCCTTTGTCCTTTGTTTACCTTGAGGCATAATTCATTTTCGACGCTGCGCTTTGTTCCTAAACAGGGAGCTCGTGGACCGAGGGGAAAAGCAGGACGCGATGGAGAATCAGGAAAGCCGGTGAGGAGTACTTTTTGCTACAATCAAGTGATACTGGGGGAACCCGACGGGCAGTCAGAGTGTTGGCCGAGATATATCGGTTCCTCCTAAGTTATGTTTAGTGTTATTCGCAAACAGATTGACATTCTCTTCATGAATTTTTGCTCAAGAAAGACCCTTTCCTTTTTTTTGAATTGTTATTTATCTTCAAACATCAAGCGGAAGATTAAACTTCATGAGGATGTCTTGGAAAACAGACTTCCTCTCGCATTGTTAGGGAATCCTGGTGAAATGTCTATGACAACATCGCGATGAACTGGCATCCTATCCAGGGGAGAGCAATACGCAATACTCCCAGTCACATTATGCTACAGACACTGGGATGAGTTGCGGCAGAATGGGGCCACCTGGCTCGAGTACAGCCTTTCCTCTGTCCCTATTATTTTGCTTTGCTGCCTCGATAAAAAAGATAAATTGATAACAAAATGGAGTAAGAATCAAGAGTAAGAGTAAAATCATGACGCCGTACTGAGTTCAAAGGCTAAGAGGTGTGGTCTTTGTTAGCCCTATTTCTTTCTAACGCAGGAAAGTTCTGGGTACACTTTGCTTCTTTTACATTGCTTGTAGACGTATTGAAAGTCTCCAAAAATCGTATTGGGTGGTTGTATCAAGGCTTTAACTCTTTTCTTTGACTTTCTGTGAAATTTAGGGAATGCCTGGCGATGACGGTCGTCCGGGAAGACCTGGAAGAGAAGTAAGCAAAATGAAATAGCAAAAGGATCGATAGAATTTTACGTTCTTCTACCGACGGCAGAAATGTTGGATTTTGAGTCAAAGTAGCGTTTGCGTTCGGTATGCATCAATGTCCGTTGTTTTGTTTTATGCAGGGCTCTCGTGGAATGATGGGAATGCGAGGCTTTAACGGTGCAAGAGGAGAGCGGGTAGGACTTGAGAATTTAAGTTTATTTTTTTGTGAAAATGTAAACAGTTTATGTGAAATGTATTTTAAAGTAACAAACGGGATATTTGTCGTGTGGTTACACATTTGTGAACAGTATTTCAGAAGCGATTTAATATCACGATATTATTTGTAAACAGGGTGTGGATGGACGCCCTGGTGCCAATGGACGCACAGGACCTCGAGGAGTAAAGGTGCAGACATTGTAGATATGTGATAATAAAATATGTTGGATATCATTTATCACCATATTTACATAATGATCGAGCGCGAAATCCGAAGGCCTGGGGTTCGATTCCTCTTGGCACTTAGATTTTTTCTTTTTTTATCTGTTGCACTGTTGCACTCTCGTGACAAAACTAATAACTGACCTTAATTCTAATCGTCCGGGTGAGGAAAGTTCGAAAAGGTTTATTGACGTTGACGTTGCCTGAGGTTTCAAATACGCAAAAGGAAATCTTCCTCAGAGTCTACTGAGGAGTTTTTAGTCAGTCTTAGCAGTCTGTAGCGAAAAGGTCGTCCGTAAGGGGACGTTGAAATAATGTTAGAAACTGTTTTGGGGAGTCTGTATCAAGAGACATTAGGTAGATGTTTATTTTTTAAGCTAGGAGGATATCTATTTGATAGCTTTTAACTCAAGAGGGTGATGAAGGGGTGTGTTTTTATTCTATTGGTATTCAATGCCTTCTTTTCGCCATCTTAAAGGGTGACCGTGGTCGCAAGGGGGCCACAGGAAGACCTGGGAGATCTGGAAGGCGTGTGAGTAGACAAGGACCATCTGTATAAAAGGCTTTCTTTGGAAATCTTTTAGGGGAGTTGGGAAAGAGAGTGTGTCCTTGACGGACTCGTCAAAGGATAGTCAGTGGTTTCCCTAAAATGGGTACAAATGTGTAGTTTAGAACGGCAGGTGGGTCTTGCAGTCGCATTTTCCTAAATTCCAAAATATATTACATAGTCAAAATCTTCTACAAAGGGCCAAAGACACCTTAGTCTTAAATCGGCAAAAAATGCATCCTACCAACAAAACAAGGTAATAATTACTTTGCTTAGTGCTCCAAGGGGTGTATCTTAATTTCGTCAATTAATTTGAGTTTTCTTGGACAGGGTCGTCGAGGTAGGATGGGAGGGCCTGGATTTCGAGGAAGTCTTGGATTAAAGGTATTTAACATACTTCTTGTTTGGACCCTGCAATGCTAACTTTTAAACTCTTCTACGCATGCGTTTAACTGTGCGCGGGATGTCATATACATGATGTGAATACCATTTTTTATAGGGTCTATCGGGACCTCAAGGAGCCCCAGGCTATCCCGGTCGCGTAGGGCGTAAGGTGAGGTTTTTTTTTTTGTGGAAAATTTGTGAATAGACTTATTCATAGTCTTGATAGCAACGGATTTATTTGCAAATGTGAAAGAAAATATGACCTGCACAAGCAGTAAAAGTAACAAAAAAAAAATAGTAACGCGTGTATGCTTACCGTATTTCATTTGAGCAACCCTTCAGTGATGTGATATTTTAACCGAAGCTTTTGAGCGCTATTTGCTGCATTGTGGTAGACTTAAAGCCTTTAAGAGGAAACAGAATTATGCGGGCTTCAAAGTGCAACGCAGTCCAAATTTGAAATCAAAGATCGCTTTGAAAGAAGTGAAATCAGTGGCTGTAACCATTTACTCCCAAGATCAGTATGCATATTCTCCACATGTTCCCTATAATGTCCTGAAGAGCTGACAAGGAGAATTTGTTTAACAATCAAGAACTTCTTTAGTTCAGGATCAATTCCTTTATTCTCGTGACCTTAAAAGGTGATTCAGTGGTGATATTGTGAGGAGAAATTAGATGTTAATCACACTTAAGGGTCAAAAGGTTTCAGCAATGCTTTAAGCTGATAGTGCCTCTCGGTTAGAACTTAATTACTCCCAAATAAAAATAAAATGTTGATAATAATTCAAACATTACCTTTATACTATTTCTATTTCAAAGGGAATCCGCGGAACCAACGGCAAAGATGGAAAGGCCGGAGATATGGTTCGTTTGGTTTGAGTCACTTGTAACTCAGCTTGCTAGCTTATTCTATATAGCTGTACCACCTAGGACCTGTTCTTTTCTCATTCTTTGGGTAACTCAGGAATTTGGTTGTTTTCAACTGAATGCGTCTTCCGTTTATTCCTTAGGGACCCCGTGGATCTCCTGGACCAATAGGACTATCTGGTTCTCCGGTAAACAGGGCATGCGCAGTCAAAAACTAGATTCATGACATACAAATATCAATTTTTTTTTAGTTAGGGATCGGCCAGCCCTATGTACAAATTTTAAACATAGTTTTGTATGCTTAGAAACAACAGGTCTTAAATAATGTTACCTCTAAAATTCTTCATTTGTGTTTTTTTGTTGTTATTTTATTTGTTTTTGCTTCGATTTTGTTCGGTAAATATAATTGTGTAAGGAATGTTGTCCTGCTCTTTATTCAATAGGTATTTTTTCCGATTTATTTACTTTTTTCTTTCGTCTCCTGTATTTTTCCTTTTTGCATTATTGCTTCTTCGTGTCTTTGTAATTGGTTGGCATTTTTTAACTATTTAACTGAAATCTACTCTTCTTTTCATTAAATTCCAATTCTGTTTTGTGCCGAAGGGTATGCCGGGACGCATCGGTGAATATGGATTTAATGGCTTGTCAGGGGCTCCTGTGAGTACGAATTCGTTTAAGACTTGAAAATGTAGAAATGTAGGAACTGTTTCTCTGTCGGGTAACTGACTGAAATAAAGGACGCTCAATTGCATCACAATACCGCAAAAAATTCCTATGCTATCGTTGGTTATTTTAGAAGTCATGAAAGCATGAAATTATTAACTTTGTCGTATTATCCTCTAATTCAGAATAGTAGGGAAGAGGAAATCTCATGACTATTCTAACACAAAGATTTTGTAATTACGGTTTCCCTGCTTATTTTCCATTGTGTTTTAAGCGGTACCAAAAAAGTTATATGGTCTCCAAACACCGTGAGTTACTCGCTTGTGTGGTTGTTTATAAGAAAACTTGGTTTTGACAGCCTGAAATCCCTGAAGGTACGCCACTTAGCCCCTACTTTTGTTCGCACATGTGCAGAAGTTTGACCGCTGTGTTGGCTACATAGGGTCACAGTGACGAAGAATCATGTCAAAAATCAGCCCAATTTACGCGATCTCACACGAAACTACCCAGAACAATTGTACGATATTATGTTAATTGGTGGCTGCAGTAGATCTCTTGCCGACTTAAACTTTTTTCCAACAGGGTCCTAAAGGAAAGAAGGGGGCCAAAGGAATGCGCGGCTCGGATGGTAGACCAGTAAGTGAAGCAAACAGTTTTGTGTTTGTGTTTAGTTTACTAAAAGAATGAAAAACAGCAAAACAGCAGCTTACTTGCCACAGTATGCGTTACCTGGTCAGGGTTTAGTAAGCCTGTATAGCACCCAAAGAACTATTTGACAAACATACAGAGAGTGAAGAATCATATTTTGTGTTCTACGGCGAACTAGTAGCTTAGCAAGAGAACTCCTTTCAGTTTTACGAATCAGGGTTTATTTCCAAGGTGTTTCACAAACAGGGCACATCCTAAAAAAGACTTCTGCGATGCAGGATATTACCCAGCGTTTGCATTAGATAAACATTTCTCATCGAACCGAGATGAATTTATCGATAAAATAAAGCCACCGTAATGTCTTTTTTTTCGCTTTTTCTAAGGGATGGCCAGGTATGCGCGGACGAACCGGAAGGAAAGGGCCGAAAGGAAAGCCAGTGAGTATTACATGAAGTTCAAGACTTGCTTTTGCATCACCAATTGGTTATGTTTTTCTTAAAATGATTAATTGAATATTTCTCACCATGTTGGTTTAGGGTGAAAATGGCTATCCGGGACTTCCCGGAAACAACGGACGAGATGGTCAGCCGGTTAGTAAAGTTGATATTATGTAAATGGCTTGAAATGTGCTTTATTAAATCCATTTTACAAGGTGGATTTGTAGCAGCAAAGGGTGTTTTTTTCTAGAATTTAGTTTATCCGAATGCCGCTTATTCGCGGGTTACCCCACTCCCCTCCCTCCCCAGTACTGCATTAGGCTTGCCCTGACAATCCGCCGGTACTCAATCACACTCCTGGGTGGAGGGAGGCACTGTGATAGTAAAGTGTTTTGCTCAAGAACTCAACACAATGACGAGGCCGGGGCTCGAACCCGCGCCACTCGTTGCGGCGTCCAGAGTAACAACTATTAGGCCGCCACGTTTCCAACAAAGATTGTGAAAGATATTTCAGATGAGAACGAAATTGGAGTCCTTTGTATGAAACGTTTTTTCGGAGTACGGGAGTCTCTTCAATGAAATAACTGATGCAAAAGCTCTACGAGCGACTTGGTATTGTTAGGACCATGTTAAGCATTGGAATGTAACTGCAATCGGCAACAAAATTGTCGAGACATTGACTTTTTCGACCCCTCCATTTACTTTAATATTATCTCTTTTGCCTCTATAAGGTTAACCTATTCGACCCCCCCCCCCCCAAACAATGTTGTATCGTGATTCCATGAATTTTTTAGCTACATACGGGCAACATTGAATGGGGAGGGGTTCTTGTTAATGATTTAGAATGTGATACAAACAGGAGTGTTATCCTACACACAATTAGAACACGCTGATTGTGGGTATAGTGCCTCTTTAGCAGAGATATCCCAAAAGAGAGTTTCCCCCGTTCATTATATAACAAAAACCGTTTTTGGATTTTTTTTCTTTTTTAGGGCATGGACGGAAGACCAGGAACCCCAGGATACCCAGGACCCCGCGGCGCCAAGGTGACACGTTTTGAAATGGACATGATATTTGAACTTCTTAGAAGCTTCTAGAACCGACAACTGTAATGTTTAAGCGTTTTCTATTGACAGGGGAAGGATGGCGTAAACGGTGCACCTGGAAAGCCTGGGAAGGAAGGAGAAATGGGTCTTACCGGGCGAAGAGGTTCTTCTGGTCTGCCTGGAACTCGAGGAGCGACGGTAAATGCTGAGTTGTATTTCAACTTTGATTTTGACCTGATTCCGCGAAGAATATCGAAGAAGTTCTTAACGTTAGAAAATTTTACGAAGTTCTTCCGACTTTAAAGAGTCCCCTGCAAAAAGTTCCTTGTAATATCGAGGGCTCTACTAAACGATCCTCCATAAGGTGCCTAAAGAAATTTGGGTGGAAGGCGCAATAATTGGCTCTTTAACTTATCTTCCGTTTTGAACACTAGAGTGCGATATTTGAATTTTGCCCGCTAGTTTTTCGATTTCTGATTTTAAACACTAGTTTCCTTTTTTTTTTTTGGTTTGCTCATTAGAGTCCAATTTTTAGTTTTGGAAACTCTTGTCTGATTTTTTATTGTGGATGCCACTGTTCGATTTTTGATTTTGGACACTAGTGACACGGCGTGTTTTATTGGAACAAATCTATTAGTTAAGGCTTCAACATTCCTTGTCACCTTTTCAAAACTTGAACTTACTTTGTCTTTCAATGGCTCCAAGGGACCATCTGGACCTGCCGGACCAGATGGAAACAAAGGATCCCCTGGAATGAAGGTGAACGGCTAGTTGAATTCTATTAATGTAGTTCCAAGAAATGTTATTAAAACAATGTTATGAAATTATGAAATGATATGAAATGTTATTATGAGATGAAGTTATGAAATGTTATTAAAACAATGATTTTAAGTATGGCATTTGGCGTTGTGCTTGTCGCAGCAAAGTGGAAAGCATCCTATGCGGTGAAAATTAAAGAAACTTTTGAACATTAACCAGTATTTCTTTTTTCTTTTAGGGAAGAAAAGGACCCGTGGGTGTGCGAGGATCGAAGGGCGAAAGCGGTGGTCTGGTGAGTTAATCTGCTTGTTGGTATTGTTTTGAAGCGCAAGTTTTGCCATCTTCATGATTCACCTCGATGATTCCCCAGTAGCGCCTAAAAACAGAAAAAGTCAGGCTCAGCTGTTGTATTTAAAGCGTTCAACTCTTTACAACACTTCAGCTCTTTCTAATGTGTACCAAGTGTGAAGGCTAAGCTAAAGATGTTGTACATGTATTCTTGGTCAACTTTGCTGTAACCTTGGGGTCAGTAGGAAACCTGCCGCAAGCGTGCTGGCTCAGCTTTTCCTCTATCAGCATGTAATTTGCAACACTGATAGAAAGGGAAAACGACCAGCGGTTATCCACAGATTCCCGGCTTGTTTTTCATTTAAAAATGTATCAAAACGTACTAATGTGTAAATTGTAAACAGAGGTTATGGTTCCCTGAACTGTCGTGCTGCGTCGGAAGAAAATTGAGACAAAAGATTAGCAACAAAAAGTTGATAGGAAAGTTCACTTAGGAAGTAAAGCTGGGTGATCATCACAGTAAGGGTGAGGAAAACTAAGTGGGGGAAACTTGGTGTGGATTATTATTGAAGTAGCCTCCCAAGAGATGGTCTATTTTCTTGCAACTGCAATATTCTTTTTTCCTTAATCATTGTTGTCACTCCCAGTTATCGCTTTTGAGTAAATTAAATAATAAATTATGTTGTCACTCGGTAAAATTTTAAAGATTTTCAATTCTCAACTTGAGTGATTTTTTTTTTACAGGGATCGCAAGGTCCCGAGGGTGATCCTGGAGAACTGGGAAAGCCTGGCGGTGTGGTGCGTAATAAATTGATTGTAATTCATGTATAAAGTTATGTATGAATCAGTTTCAAGTTATAATTACCTTTACAACCAATTCACCAGAGCATGGAAAAGCAATTGTGACAATCAAAAGAGTTAGAGATGTAGTATATATTAGTGGAATGGAGGGGGAAGAAACTGAAACAAAATTATTAAATTCTACCTATATTGTTAGTTGGGAAAAAATAATTTCTGCGGTATAAATATCTGTTGACTTATTTCATTTGTGAAACAGGGGCTTCGAGGAGCGCCTGGCATGCCGGGAAAGCCAGGATTACGAGGAGCAACAGTAAGTCACTCCCTGCATAATTACCGTAGTTTATTAATCTACGCAACCACTCAATTTTTCTTCTCAACATACGTATGTGTGCTGCTTCAAGGATTTCTCAGTAAAACGTCACTGAAGGTACTTCGTATAAAAGCGTCTCTCTAGCTCAAATGCTAGTACATATTAAATCAATCGAACCCCCTACGGATTCACCCGCCCCCTTACTACAAACCCTTGTTTGACAATGAATCATCAAACTATAACTTAATTAACGAACATAATTGGTTATCTTCATCCACAGTGTACGTATCATGCTTGTGTACTTGAACCGTAAGCATTTTTGTGCCCTCTGGGCCTTCCCTTTAGGAAGGCCGTAAGCACCATGTTACGTGTTGCGGAAGTCCGTTTTTATTATTTAGATTAACTTCCCGATAACAAGCCTGGGTAGTTGTTAAGATTTTTTCATCGTTTTCTTTGTCATCTGCACTCAAGGGTCGAGAAGGTGAAACAGGCCTTGAAGGTAATCCTGGAATTCCTGGAACGAAAGTAAGTGACGTGTACAACTGATACCTTGTTCTTTTGTTTTTAAAGTGATGATTAAATTTTCTTAAGTTATGGTTCCTGGTGTAGATATTGGACCAGAGTTCATTTTACTAGTCAAAGCTAAGTCTGGATCATCGGATAATGAAATTCAAGAGTTTTCATCGACTTAAGCCTTCATGGCTTATGAGTCATTATAACACGTGCGCGAATGAAAACGAGTTAAACCAGAAGTGCTATTGTACTTTCTAACATTCCGTTTGTTCTAACAAAATAAAGTCGGGAAGATTTATCCATAGCTTAGGGCATTTGTAATAAAACAATTATTCCACTCGCGCTCCATTCTCTAAGGGCCTCATTGGTTATCTATCATCTCACATCCAACACGCTTGCGGAATAATGTTTGAAAATTTGTAATCTTTCAGGGAGCTCGAGGAAGATATGGAAAATCAGGGAAACCTGGTCTACCCGGTCCTCCGGTCAGTTGTAACTGCATGATTCATGCATACCGCTAGTATTTCACATATCGTAAAAAGATGGATCACGCTTTCACATACACACTTTTTTGAAACAATATAATTGTTATAAAATTACGGCAAGAACAGCGCCCCTAAACATCATAAATTTATTGAAACACCATCGAAGATATTAGTATCCCAGCCATTTCCCAGTTTAAAGTGGAATTAAATCATAATTTTTTATAGTAACAGGTTTACATGTGGAAACCGATTCCCCGCTCAGAACGACTACCACATTTAATGTTTTGCGTGTAATTTGCGAAACTGAATAGCGTCCACGATAACCTGGCGGCCCAGTATTTCCCTGCAGCCTTCTACTTTCTAAATTGTTGACAGCCCTGCAATCTTGTTTTCATTTTCTTATGTTCCCTTGAAGGGAATGAGTGGTCAAGATGGCATATCCGGCCCCCCCGGACAAGACGGCTCAGTTGTGAGTATATTTATGACAGAAGGAACCGTTTGTACTTTCCTGTAGCTCGTCGCCTCGATTTAAAATAAAAATTACATGAGCTAAGGAAATTGAGGAAACAAAAGTAATTTGTCTAAAAAATTGAAGCAATAAAAGACCCTTCAAGTTCCCTCCTCTAGCCCTTAGGTTGCAAGGATCTGAAATGTAATCTTCCAAAGTAGAGAACGTAGATTTCTCTTTTGGAGTTGAATTTCGAATATGTATTTAATAGTTCTTCACCAAGGCCGAGCTATGAATCCATGTCATCGTTTATCGGAAAATATTTATTTCTACTTTGCTAACCCTGGGTCGTTTAGTTGCTTGCTGGTGAATAGTACAAACCTCCTTACCGTTGAGTTAACCAGCCAGCGCGTGCGAAAAGCAATTTCCACATACGTGCTTTAGAGATAAAAGCCTCCCTCTGTCCCAAAAATATACATGGATTAAAATATATTAAAGATCACCCCTCATCAAGGTACTAGACAGGAATGTCGAAACGTTGGGTCTATGAATTGTAACTTCTTCGGTTACATGCATTAAATCTGTAAACCAGAGTAGCATCAAACCATGTCTGAATATACATGGATATTTGTTCGCGGACATTATCTTCGCCGATAAACGAACATATTCCGATAGCGAAGCTCGAAGTAAACTGTGGTCGGGTTTGCGCTTTGGCAGCAAAAAGGGAAAACTTATCTTAATGGCTCGTAAAGTAGTTTCAAATTGTCTTTTTCAGGGTTTTCCTGGACCCACTGGGCCGATGGGTCCCAAAGGACATGTCGGACTCAATGTACGTACGTTTTAAACCCTAAGTTTACATAATAGCTTCCTAGAATGCTTAGCCCCATCCCTGGTGCTTAAAATGTTAAGATTAACTTTATTCAACGACTGACATATACGGAATTACCACAGTAGGAAGACTGCTCTCAATTTTACCGCGACGGACATGATAATTTGTTTTTTTTTTAATTGAGTATGTAAATTGGCCAACGTAAAGAGTTTCCAAAACTAACGTTTCCACGTCAACGTACGGATACAAGTTGGAACATAACTGCTAACAAGGCCAAAATTTAATATTTAATGCTTTCAATAGGATTATCCTAATTATACTTAATACTCTCAACCTTTTTATAGGGCTTCAATGGTTTTGCAGGAAGAGGTGGAGCACGAGGAGAAGACGGTGAATCGGTAGAGTGTTAGTTTTTATTCAGTTGGGGTGTTTGTGTTCTTTAAACGATCCTCAATGGTTGATGAGCTTCAAGAGTGAGGGTGTTTTAAGCTCAAGATGGGGGCGTTTTAAACTTCCAATTTTACGTTTCGGTCAGGATCATTTCGGGTTAAGGTAGAGTTTGTACTCTAGGCGAGTGGCCCATCCAGCCGTGACTTATCCCGCTTTCCTTAGCATGAAGCGACTAGGAGAATTAGTACTCCCCCCAGGATAGGATGCCGGTCCATCCAGTTACCCCTTCCCCCCCCCCCCCTCCCCAGCATCTCATTAGGCTTCCCTTACAAATGGCCGATATCTACTTATATTCCGGGGTGGAGATGAAAGTAAGGTTTTTTTGCCCAAGAACACGACACAGTGGCCCGGCTAAGTCTCAAATTCGGACCTCTCGACCCAGAGTCCAGCAACTGCGTCTCCTAACATATCGTGTAAACAAAGGCTTGATTTATGAAATCTTTTCCTATTTTTAAGGGCGATCAAGGTCCAAAGGGAGCTGGTGGTATACCTGGAGAACCTGGTTTAGCAGTGAGTTGATCTGTTTGAACATGCTTTTGGTTCTTATGGATTCACCTCCATGCTCTTATTTCTTTAATGAACACTGGCGGAAAATATTTGGCTCGAGGTCATGACGTAGAGAACGAGCGTAGAGAGGACCGAGAGCCAATTGCTTTGCCCTCCAGCCCGACCAAACTCAATCAATAAGCACTATCTCTTCTTTTCTCTCTCTTCCTTTCTTCCTTTAGCTTGCATCTCGAATGGTCGAAAGACTTTTCCAAACCTGCTCACCTCGTCGTGTTTCGTGTACGGCTCTCATTCGTGGCGTCGCGGCGGTCGCATTCTACACCTTTCTTGCCCTTACGTTCTAAGTTTTTATCTCGTCTGTTGTAGGGATATCCTGGCAAAACTGGAGATCAAGGAGCAGACGGCCGCCCAGGGAGAGATGTGAGTTTGTAGTTAAAATTTTATCATTTGTTTCGTTCTTTGGTTGGTTTTGTTGACTTACTTGTTCTTCGGTTGGACGGAGAAAATTTAATTTCGAAGATTGGGAATCTTTTAGTTGTGCCCCATAAAGGTTACAGGTGGAAGCTACTTTGAACAATATCCCTAAAGAGAAAACTCTGCATGTGTGACTTGGCGAATTGCATTCGGGCGCCTTCCAGTTTAAGCCTTACTTGTCAGATCTTTGTCAGGTCCTGAACGGGGCGAGATACTATTTACATCCGAACAGCCCAAGGGAAAGAAAAATCGCGCGTCAAGAGTTTAATTTCGGACTTTTTTTTGGTATATTGAAACAAACTATATTTTTTTATTTTCAATTAACCACCTCAGTGTCGGTGAAAGTGGTGGATATTTACCTTGCTGCTTCTCAGTTCGGTAAATATCCTCCACTATTTACCTCCACTTCGGTAAATAATTGTTAATTACTACTACAATTTTTTACAGGGTCTACCTGGTTTAGACGGAACTCCCGGAGAAAATGGCGCCTCAGGAGAACGGGTACTTTATTTACGAACTTATTTTAAATGCTTATTTTTAAATGAGTCAGCATTTACGGTTAAGTTTGTTGCTTACTTTCAGGGAGATGTCGGGAACAATGGGACTGATGGAGCTATAGGACCTCCCGGTGAAATGGGAAGAATGGGGGAAGCTGGGGATAAAGGCATTCCAGGGTTCTCAGGTGAACCGGTAAGACCTTTAGTATGAATCGTGAAGTGCGAATAGTAAACCTTGAAATTTGATATGTTACATGCGAAGTTTGAAACGTGGAGCGCGAACCGTGAAGCGTAAAATTTGAGCTGTGACGTGTGAAGTACGAAGTGTGATGTGGAAACAGATAAGCGCTATGCGCGAGATATGACTTTCGAGGGAAGAATTGTGCTCGGTGATAGAATTCCCTAAAGCTTTTGGCATAATGCGATATAGCTGCGCTATAATATAAATTTGTGTTTGCACAATGTGGCAGAGATATTTTTGGTCACCTTCTGGGCAGATTCGCACTGTTATGAGAAATAGCTAGTTGGAGAAAGTGTTTCTTGCTGAATTATGCTGAACACGTGCGCAGCCCCTCTCAAAAAAAACTCCAATTGAAAGATCCAAAAAGACCTCCTCTTGCCTCTCCAACCATTAAATTTCAGGCAAGTTTAGAATTCTTGTAAACGTGCTCTTAAGTGTTGCTTTTTAATTAACTTGAATAAGTGGTTTTATGTTGAAGGGTCGCTAAAACCCTAAGAATTTCATTTATGAACCTCTTTACTGCAGAGGAAAAAGTTGTTAAGAGTATGCGACCATCTTCATATTCTTCCTTGCGTTACAGCTGAACGTTCCGAGAGAAATTTTACAAATACGACGTTAATTTGGACTTTACTGATTACCACTTTTTTTGTCCTTTCGCGCTCTTATAGACCTTGCACGTTTGCCGCGATTTATGCTTCATGCATAATTATTAATTAACTAAAAGCCGTGTTATTCTAGTCAGATTCTAATACCAGGCGAGTAATTTTCGTTCTTGCTTGTTTTTTTTTTTGTCATCAAGGGTGATTTGGGTTCCGACGGAGATGAAGGGGTATTCGGACACAAAGGACAACCTGTAAGTTATCCTGCTTCGTTAAAAAAAATGAATGTAACCTCTCATCTTTTCATCCTGATGAAATGTACTGCGAAGCTAGGCTCCTAGAAAAAACAACGTGCGCCTGCAAAGCTCCGGTATCAGAAATCTGGGGAACCAAGGGCTTTAAAGCGTTAATGAATGGACAATTCACCAAGTCACGCCGCTTGCCTTTGATAAACCGGCTCTGCTGAAGCCCAGCCCGAGCACGAGAACTCAAGTGGTGCTCCTTGGAAATGCAGTAGCGGTGAAGCCCTCCTTTCACCAAATTCTGATCCTACATCAGACCTGGTCTCTGAGATCGAAACCCTTTTTTCAGAGCTACATGTCACAATAAAGTCACATATAAACTAAATGTGTCGCCGATTGTGGCTTCTGAAAGTTGTGACTGGTTTGTTCCATCAGCACTGGAGTCAGGATTTGGTCAAATTCACCCATAATTCCACTCTCTGTTATATTGTGCTTACTTTCTGTTTGTTTGTGTGTTTGTTTGTTTTGTTAGGGTTCAACACATAAATACGTTCATATGCTCAGGTGGCACTCTCAAAAACCACACCCAATTTTTATCACAACCACCTTCAAATCTGTACCGTACCCTCTGTTTTGCTTGAGAACAGTCTTAATATTTTCCTTCCCCCGCATCCAGGGTCCTATGGGAATACAAGGTGATGAAGGAGAGACTGGGCGAGCAGGTCGGCAAGTAAGTTTACTTTTTAGTGCTGAGTTGGTCAACCTTCGGACCCAACTGGTTCATTGATTTATCGATTAACATTTATTGTTTATAATTGTAATTACCAGTACTATTTCTTAATACATTAGTACATTTTTGTGAACAGATGTCATCGTTTAAGATTTACATATCAATTTTGTATGATGATTTGTATTCCTATGTGCATAACTAACAATATCGAAAACCTTTCAAGTCTAATTTTTGTTTTACATGCCTAGGGTGATCCAGGATTATTAGGACTTCCGGGAATCCCTGGTCCACCTGGAGAAGAGGTAATGTTTAATTTTCTACTCGTAGAAAACTTATCTTTGGGATATTGGATGTGGATGTTTAAGTGCTTAAGTGTAGGGGGGCAGTACGTGATTAGTATTCATACTGCAAAGTTACTTTGGAATTATGTTCACGAAGAAAACATGTTGCACTTGCTTTACGTATGCACAAAGTTGACGGTACCCTTCACCCATGATTATGTTCATGCTAATTGGTGATCAGATCAATTTTTTTACTATAATCTTTAAGGGTTTACAGCCCTTGATAACCCAAGCATTACTTAAAAACCGATTCACATCTCCAATACCAAGTACACAGGGCAGGAAATCAACTTTGTTATGAAATTTCGTTTATTTTAATAACTTCATGGGTTTAATAAGTAAATTTTATATTGATGCAAAGTTTACCAACTTGTTCTAAAAAGAAAAGTATCTATTTTACAGGGGAGGACAGGGGAGCCTGGTAGCCAAGGATCAACCGGCCCTACCGGACCCAAGGTGAGTGACGCTGGTAAGAGGCTTTTGATTGGTTGGTCAAAGTAAATCACATTTAAAACCTACAAGACTGGTATAAAGATTTCCCTGCCACTCGATATTAGACGTGGGGATTCGGGAATATTCACTCTTTCTGTGTCTTTTCGTTATCACTCATCTCAACTTCGTTCTCGTCTCTCTCTCATTTCGCTTGGGAAAGAGGTCGTACTTATCCATAGCTGTCTTTCTACTTAAGGGCGTGATGGGGCCTCAAGGACCACCAGGCCCTCCCGGTTATGGCGGTATGGAGGTAAGATGATAATAACAGATACTAAATCGCACCTGTTGTCCCTCAGGGAGAAGCTGGGGGTTCGTTTTCTGATTTTCCTAATAACGACCGATTCGAAAAAGTTGATTTTTGTTGGCCATGGCAATAAACATGATCGAGATTTGACTCAAGCGATGAAGTAACTAAGAAATGATATAAGATGTATTGATCTTGGAGCCACTGTTCCTTAGATTGGGATTTTAAGAGGGTTTTCGGACCCGTGAAGTTACTTGGATTTCCGTGGAACGGGCCCGTGTTCGTTCGAGTGAGGCTCATGAAATCAGTCCAATTGTATCACCAATACAAGCCAGTTTGTTAGATAATGTTATACTACTGCACTGATCTTAAAGGCTAAGTCTTCTCAAACACATTACTGTACAGAATTTGTATCATACTTATGCTTTGTGAATTAAAATCTAGGGGCGACTTGGGCCTGAGGGTGAATATGGTGAGCCGGTAGGTGTTCAAACTGTTGTTTTACCCAGTTTACATAGAATCGGAATGACTTGAATTATCCATATTAGAATCATTTGTCACTCAGCACATTTCTACGCAACTTTTTCCTTTAAAACCCGCAAACTGTGACATTTATACCTTTTTTTAATTTAACGGTCAGCAGGAAATGCTTTTCCTAAAATTGAGAACAAAATGCAAAATCTGGCGAATCTTCGATGTAAAACTCGTGCACAATGTTGATGCCTAACGGCATCTACCATCCAATGAGTACATCTACTTCGCGGCTCGAGGTTAATCATTAATCAACAAGAAAAACATCGAGAGAATAGCATGCTTTGTTTTAGTAACTGCGTAGATTTGTTTATACAACACAGTGATCATATCTTTTCTGTGTTCTTCTTCAGGGACCAAGAGGACCTCCCGTAAGTGCGCCATTCATAATAAATAGGACGCAGAGATCGAGGCCTTGATCGTTTTTGATAATAGCTATATGATGATGGTCTTGAGACTTCACATCATGCTTTTGTATTGTGACTTTTACTGCTTCCAATTACTTTTTCGGTCTCTATTCTAAGCTGTTAACGTTATCACTGAAAGTGAATATTTTCTTTTGGTTTTGTAAAATTGATAAAATTGATACATCCAAAACTGTGTCCATTTGAACTTGACATTCTTTGTCACGTGTTTCTTCATCCTTTCCCTGTCCACCCTTCAATCGATCTATTTTGCTTTCTTGAACTAATTCGCCTCATCGGTCGTTTGTTCTTTAAACTATTCACCCCTCGATGTTTTTTAATTTTTTTTTGTATAAAAATATATTTTCAAGTTATTCGTGTCAAGTAATACGCGATGAGACCATTATTTTCATTTTGCTTTTTCTAACTTTCTAGGGGTATGACGGAGTACCGGTATGTTATATTCTACTATTAATTGTTTTTTTAAGTGGTATTTTCTTTACACTCTATTAAGTCTTTTTGTTGTTGTTGTTTATGCGCTCTTTCTGATTCATGAAATCACTTATTGTCGTACACAGGGTGACCCAGGCCCTCCTGGTCCGCCAGGCGAGAAGGTATGTAATATGTACTGGCACATTGACAGTTTGTCTGTGCTCATTTATACTCCTGGGTGGAAAGAGGTGTTGTGAGAGTAACCTGGTCCTCACTACCCACATTTCAGCGCTCTTTATCCGTCAGTTAGCGAGAGTGTTCTCGCAAGGAGGCATTTTATCATCCACTGAATCAGACCAGAGTAGGGTAGTTAACACTACAGCACATAGTTAAGAAATTATATGATAATGATATCAAATATGAACGACAGTGACATTGTTTTAATACCTTGTCTTCTAAATCCGCAGGGGCCTCCAGGGCAATATATCTACCCGCAGCCGGTATGTTAATATTGTCTTCCACAACCGTCATTTTGGCTCGTAATACCGCTCGCTTCTTGTTGGGTAACGAATCGAACTTAAAACTATAAGGAATCCAGCAGGTCAACTTCTATTCGAAATTTTGTAGAGAACAAGAACTGTTACAGTCGAAAGCTATAGAGTTTAGAAAGGGGACGAAATCACTGCAATGGAAGTAGGAACGCTATTGGAAACGATGGAGAAACGTGTAAACATGCAATCGATAAACCCCCTAATTGTGGTCTTTTCGTTGTTTCCATTAAGCCTTTTCCGAGAGAGTATTCCCTTAGATAAAGCAAGTCTATCTTAAAATCGGTGGTATATTTGCTCACGTCAGGATTGTAGTATCCGTCACTCCGCACGCGGTGCGAACCTACACCGTATCACGTGATATTTCATTGAACTAGTTTTATCTAACGTGGCGCGTGTTCATTGATGGTCTTACAAGGGTGAAAAGAAAGGATGTATGACTGACAGTTAAAATTCACTTTTGAATCGTTTATGAAAGCATTCAGATTTAAACTAAAAGGCAAGGAAGCTGCAGGCATTGATGGGGGCTTCCAGAACGTTATTAACGGTCAGGTTCAAAAAGCCACTTAATACGTGTGAGGCAAAAAAATCTGCCGCGTTTTAAAAATCATCGCATTTTACGATTATTTGTCAAACTGGGTCTCGTAATATGGACTTACCTCCCTTCTCGAAACTTTCGTTTCCAATATATTCCAGCCTGGTATTTCCACCGGAGTGAACAAGAAGGGTCCATTCTCCAATCGTCGGCTCTACTCGAGTAACCAGGTAATTTAATAAGTCAATTGTTTTGTTTGCTTGATTCAAATAAAGTGGAGCTTAACTTTTTGGACACATCTATAAAAAATTAGATAACAAGAAGTCTCTACCCAAAATAGTTGTCCCGCTAGCTTTGTATCCGTTACATTTACGTAGGGGGAAAAACCTAATCAGTGGGGAGTTTCTCTGGTTCCGTGGATATCGATGGCCTCTTCAAGGAAGATCCACTGTAATTTGGTCGACTTCCAGACTAGTATAATATGAAACAGCTGATCTTTTACGATAGGCATGTCAGAGCAGATGCTACTTTGGCAATTGAAGATTAGCCAGAATTTTCCTTGAGAGTCCAACTCTTGTATCTCGTTGGCATAACTGGTCAGGCTGTTCTATGATGATGAGTTGTGGGAAGAGGGGTTACATGTGCCACACCACTTCAACCCCCCCCCTCCCTTCCTCCCT